AATTGAGACGCAAACAACGAACATGTACTATGCCTATCAGGTTTTGATTGTTGAATATACATTCACTTTTTCCACCTCTCCTGGGAAGAAATTCCATGCTTTATGGAGAGTACAACTTCCTGACATTTCTTCTTTGCATTACCATCAACATGCGTCAATGCATGACCTCTTGTTTAAGCTCTTATTCTGAGGAATCCACTTCTCTCCTCTCACATGTTGCATTGGAAATGTTCCATTATAATGCAATTAACATTACATTAAACAACAAAACCTTTCCAAACACAAAAAGAGATTATAACAGGAGCTGACAAATGTTTTTTTGGAAATAAGAGTGTTTAAACGAATTATAATACTAAAAAAATGAAACTAAAATCACGAATATCATACCAAAAAAATAAAAAGTCATGAAGCTAAAAAACAGTAGCACATTTTAGGCTTTTAATGGCCATACTGCTGTGATTACTAGCCTTTGTTTTGCTCTTGGCTATACAAATAAAAAAATGCAAAAAAAAAATCTGTCTAAATGCACAAAACTCTCCCCCCCTCCTAAAAAAACAATATTGACTTTGAAATATGTCTGCCTATTATGTGCCAATTTGTCACTGTCAAACCAGGAAAGAGATTCCAACAAGCAGAACCTAGTTTGACAAATGGACAGAGAAAAAAGTATAGAAGAGTATTACTGGCCCTTAAAATAGCTGAACTGATGCAATGCCTATATACGGTGAAAAATAGGATACCTGTGGCTTTTTTAGTCAGGAAAAGCCAAGGTCAGGGTAGACAAAAATCATAGAAAATCAGATAGCATGGTAAGTTAGCCAAAGTCAGTAACGGAGAGCATAATAGTACAGTGAACACACAACAGGACAAATAAAACACAATAAAGTGCAGTATTGAGGCCAAAGTGGCCTTTTATAACTTGTTTAACTAGTATCAGAAATAGCCTCCACTCTGCTGCACAGAATGACAGTCATGCGCACGCACAAAGGTGTCGATGGGTCCTGGGCACATATGGTCTCTGTTATCAGCTTCAAAAGCTGGACTGCATTAAAGTGAGCATTATTAAAAAACCTGCAGGCAATGAGGGATTGGACATTTGCAAGGTGAGTACCCATAGAATATACTCTCAAACCGTGAATAAACGGTGTTCTAAATAAATGTAAAAACAAAATATTGGATCTTTTGTGCATACAAAAAAAGTTGTGTTCCTAATGGCAGATGAAATTTAACGTAGAGAAATGCAAAGTTATGCACTTCGGGGTTAAGAATGCACAAGCAAATTACACATGGTAGTGAATTAGGGATAACCACACACGAGAAGGATTTGGGAATTGTTATAGACAACAAATTAGGCAGCAATATGCAATGTCAATCTGCAGTTGCTAAGGCCAGTAAGGTTTTGTCATGTATAAATAGGGGCATAAATTCTCAGGGTGAAAATATAACTATGACTCTTTATAAATCACTGGTAAGACCACACCATGAATATGCTGTGCAATTTTGAGCGCCTGTTCTAAAGAAAGATATCATAGCACTGGAAAAAGTCCAGAGACGAGCTACAAAATTGATAAAAGGAATGGAGCATTTTAGTTATGAAGAAAGGTTAAAAAAATTAAATCTGTTTAGTTTGGAAAAACGGGGCCTGAGAGGGGATATGATAACTTTATACAAATATATTCGGGGCCAGTACAAACCTTTATCTGGAAATCTATTCATAAACAGGGCTATACATAGGACACGAGGTCACACATTTAGGCTGGAAGAAAGGAGATTTCATCTAAGGCAATGAAAAGGTTTTTTTACAGTAAGAGCAATAAGGATATGGAATTCTTTACCTGAAGAGGTGGTTTTGTCAGAGTCACAACATATGTTTAAACTACAATTGGATAAATACTTACAAAAACATAACATACAGGGATATAATTTCTAATTAGTGGGGTAATAGCTGCTTGATCCAAGGAGACATCTGACTGCTATTTTGGGGTCAAGAAGGAATTTTTTCCTAGTTTGTGTCAAAATTGGAAGCGCTTCAGACTAAGTTTTTTGTCTTCTTTTGGATCAACAGCAACAACATATGTGAGGAAGGCTGAACTTGATGGACGCAAGTCTCTTTTCAGCTATGTAACTATGTAATCTGTATTCTAGATTTAATTAATTTACTACTTTCTTGCAATTACAGAACAATTAAGTGCATTATCTATATATATATATATATACATATTGATTCTACAACAAATAAATATGCAGGATTCAATTGTCTTAGACTTGAACATGTTTTAAGCTTGGTGCAACAACTCTATTACATCACAGCATGATAAATGTCTAAAAATAATTTGAAGCAGGATGTATATACACCCCAAGCTTGGACAAAAGGAGTATGATGGGACATAATTTAAATTTGTATTGAACGATTTATGTAAGTGACCTAACAGGTTCTTGCCACCATAAACAC